ACTTGACATTGTTAGAAATATATCTTACATAATTACTTACTTGTTTCATATCCAAATTGTATCAAGTAATAATATAAAAATATATTTTTAAATTTTATTGTGTTTAGGTGAAAATTTACAGTGCAGCCTCTCCAACATTTGTTATTTTTCTGTTTTATTGATTTGTGCTTGTAATGTTAGGGTGAGATGATACCTCATTGTAGTTTTGCTTTGCATTTCTCTAATGGCTGATCTCGAGCATTTCGTCATGTGTCTGTTAGCCGCTTGTATGTCTTCTTTGGTGAAGTGTCTGTTCATTTCCTTTGCCCATTTTTTAACTGGATTATTTGTCTTTTTATTGTAGAGGTGTTGGATTTTCCTGTAGATTTTAGAGATTAGACGTTTGTCGCATTTTCAATAGCCAAAAATTTTTTCCCAGTACATAGGTTCTCTTGTTACTCTTGGTGAAGTCTTTTGATGAGCATAAGTGTTTAATTTTTAGGAGCTTCCAGTTATCTGGTTTGTCTTCTGGTGTTTGTGCATGGTTAGTTATGGTTTGTATTGAATTTATGCCACGTATTAGGACCTCTAGCGTTGTCCCTATTTTTTCTTCCATGATCTTTATCGTTCTAGGTTTTATATTTAGGCCTTTGATCCATTTCGAGTTAATTTTTGTGTATAGTGTGAGGTATGGGTCTTGTTTCTTTTTTCTTTTTTTTCTTTTTTTTACAGTGGACATCGAGTTTTGCCAGCACCATTTGTAAAAAGACTGGCTTTTCCCCATTTAATGCAGTTTGGTCTTTTGTCAAAGATCAGCTGACTGTAGGTGGATGGATTTACATCTGGGTTCTCGATTCTATTTCATTGGTCTATGTGTCTGTTATTATACCAGTACCAGGCTGTTTTGACTACTGTGGCTGTATAGTAGGTTCTGAGATCAGGTAGTGTGAGGCCTCTTACTTTGTTTTTTTTCTTCACTAATGCTTTGCTTCTCCGGGGCCTCTTTCCTTTCCATATAAAAGTTTGTGATTAATTTTTCCATCTCGTTAAAGAATGCTGTTGGTATTTGGATTGGGATTGTGTTATATCTGTAGATCACTTTGGATAGAATCGACATTTTCACAGCGTTTAGTCTTCCTATCCATGAGCATGGTATGCTTTTTCATTTACGTAGGTCCCTCTTTGGTTTCTTGCAACAGTGTTTTGTATGTTTTTGAGTAGGTCTTTTATGCCCTGGTTAGATTTATTCCTAAGTATTTTCTCTTTTTAGGGGCTTTTATAAATGGTATCATTTTCCTTATTTCCTTTCTGAAGTTCTCTTTGTTGCTGTTTAAGAATCCAACTGATGTTTGTATGTTCATCTTTTCTCCCGCTGCTCTGCTGAATCTATTAGTTCCAGTAGTTTTCTTGTGGAGTCTTTGGGGTTCTTTACGTATAGAATCATATCATCTGCAAATAGGGATGATTTTACTTCTTCCTTTCTAATTTGGATACCCCTTCTTTCTTCTTTTTTTTTTTTTGCCTTAATGCTCAAGCTAGGACTTCCAGCACAATGTTAAATAGGAGTGATGATAAAAGGGCATCCTTGTCTTGTTCACATTCTCAGGGGGAGTGCTTTCAGCCTCTCTCCATTGAGAATGATGTTGGCTGTTGGTTTTGTATAATGCCCTTAATAATGTTGAGAAATTTCCCTTCTATTCCAATTTTAATGAGAATTTTTATCAGGAATGGGTGTTGGACTTTATTACATACTTTTCCGTGTCAGTTGAGATGATCATGTGATTCTTTTGTTCTGTTTATGTAGTGAGTTACATTGATTGATTTTCTAATGTTGAACCATCTTTGTATACCTGGTATGAATCCCACTTGGTTGTGGTGTATTATTTTTTTGATACAATGCTGAATTCTGTTGGCTAGAATTTTGCTGAGAATTTTTGCATGTATATTCATGAGAGGTACTAGTCTGTAATTTTATTTATTTTTTTGTGGTATCTTTGCCTGGCTTTGGTATCAGGGTTATGCTGGCTTCATAGAATGAATTCAGGAGTATTTCTTCCTTTGCTATGCTCTGAAGTAGTTTGAGTAGTGCTGGTATGAGGTCTTCTCTGAATATTTGGCAGAGTTCTCCAGTGAATCTGTCCAGGCCAGAGCTTTTGAAAAAAATTTCCTCTTCAGTCTCTTCTCTTGTTACAGATCTGTTCAGATTTTTTACCTCAGTTTTTGTTAAGTTTAGGTAGGTATTGTGTTTCTAGAAATTTGTCCATTTCCTCTAAGTTCTCAAATTTGTTGGAGTACAGTTTTTCATAGTATTCTGTTATGATTGTTTTTATTTCAGTTGCATCTGTTGTAGTGTCTCCCATCTCATTTCTTATTTGAGTTACTTGCTTCCTCTGCTGTTTTTCTTTTGTCAGTTTTGCCACTAATTTGTTGATTTTGTTGATCTTTTAAAAGAACCAACTTTTGGTCTTGTCAATTTTTTCTATATTTCATTTATTTCTGCTCTGATCTTTATTATTTCCTTTCTTCAGGTGGATGTGGGCTTCTTTTGCTGTTCTCTTCCTATGTGTTCGAGCTGTAGGGCTAACATTTTGATTTTGTTGAGTTCTTCTTTTTTGATGTGTGTGTTTATTGCTATGAATTGACATCTGAGCACTGCCTTTGCTGTGTCCCAATGGTTTTGGTATGATGTGTTTTCATTTAAAATTATTTTTTAAAGTTTGGTTGGTAGACCAAAATGTATTGCTACCAAGAGTGATTTTTTTTTTCTATTGTCCAGGGTAATTAAACCCATCCACACAAATTACCAGCCATCTGTTGCATACTCTGCATGGCTTATATTTGCCTGTCTTATTCTTTAAACTGTTGTTGTTGTTGTTGTTAGGTGCTGTCAAGTCGGTTCTGACTCATAGCAACACTATGTACAACAGAACAAAACACTGCCTGGTCCTGTGCCCTCCTCACAATTGTTGTTAGGCTTGAGCTCATTGTTAAAGCCACTGTGTCAATCCATCCCGTTTAGTATCCTCCTCTTTTTTGCTGATCCTCTGCTTGACCAAGCATGATGTCCTTCTGCAGGGACTGGTCCCTCCTGATAACGTGCTCAAAGTATGTGAGACAAAGTCTTAACATCCTTGCTTCTAAGAAGCATTCTAGCCGTACTTCTGCAAGACAGATTTGTTCGTTCTTCTGGCAGTCCATGGTATATTCAGTATTCTTTGCCAGTGCCATAATTCAAAGACATCAATTCTTCTTCAGTCTTCTGTATTCATTGTTCAGCTTTCACAAGCACGTGAGGTGATTGAAAACACCATGGCTTGGATCAGGCACACCTTAGTCCTTAAAGTGACATCTTTCCTTTTCAACACTTTGAGGAGGTCTTTTGCAGCAGATTTGCTCACTGCACTGCATTGTTTGATTTCTTAACTGCTGCTTTCGTGGGCGTTGATTGTGGATCCAAGTAAAATAAAATCCTTGACAACTTCGGTATTTTCTCCGTTTATCATGGTGTTGCTTATTGGTCCAGTTGTGAGGATTTTTGTTTTCTTTATGTTGAGGTGT